ATTTGAACCTGCAACCTCCCCCCCCCCCCTGTGTGTTTAATAGCCGTCTGAAGGTTGCAGCGGTCAGCTGGGATAGTGTGACGGTGACCAATGTCAAAACCCCCCCGCCTGCTCTTTCATCCAGTCACTGATTTTCCCCGCTCTGCTGGAAGGAAATGAAATCCGTTTACTCAAGTTCTGCACTTTGCAATGTTAAGGTACTTTTACCTCCTTAGTAGTTTCATTTAAAAGTACATTCTGGAAGCCTATTGTTATTTTTACTCCACTACATTTATCTGAGAGATTTAGTTACCTTACAGAATATTAGCTAATGCAACTAAAAGGCAAATAATAAATACATATTGACATATAATTATACACCAGGTAACAGAGCCCTCAAACCAAAATGCAGATTTTCCCCAGAAAGCAATATTTCTGTTCGTCAAAAACTGAATAATTACTCGAGAAATCTGAGCATCAAACAGAGCGTCAGACCGGAGAGACAGATCACGTTGTTGTTTACGTCAAGAGACATCTTGCTTACGGAGTCATGATCTCGAGAGAATTGATATATCTTATTAACAACATCAGCGCCACAGTATCACCTCAAACTATATTGTGTTGTAGTTCTGCAGTATACATTTGATACTCAAATAAATGGTAGTACTTTAATGTATGTGATTCTGAAGAGCGCCATTACTCATAACGAGTACTTTTACTTCTGGAACTTCAAGTAGATGTCGAAGCTAATACTTTGTACTCAAGAGAGATTTTGAATGCAGGACTTCAACTCGTAACAGAGCCGTTTTACAATGTAGTTTTGCTTCTTTAACTGAAGTAAAATATCTAATTGAGGACATGAGGAGGAGATACTTAAAAAATATATTTGACCTGTCATGTATTTCCATCCCTGGGGTTTGATCTCATGTCTCCGTCTAGACGCGTTCTCAGGATAATCGTGTTTACATGGCGTCGTTTATTCAGAGGTTAATGACTCGCCGCCGTGCTATTACACCTCTTTATCTTCCGTCCTATTATACATCTGATTTTCCTCCGCACCGACGCACATTTACAAATCCACTCACTCACACTCCACTGACTAATGCGTTTCGGCCTAATTAAACTCGTTTGCATGTGGTGAAGTCCCATCATGCGGCATAATGACATGAGCGCGGTGTGATCGCAGGTTGTCAAGGTGTGTGTGCAACAACGGGTATATTTAGCCAGGCTGCCTCTGGGTGGCAACACACAGCATCAGTGTGTGTAACAGAGCCGAGGCCAAGCTTACAGTGAAGTCAGAGGGAGGGTCTGAGATTAAAGACAACACACACATCAGACCACCTCGAGTTCAATGAGGTCAGAAGGTCACACTCAGAAAAGTCAGTTAAATGTTCTGTTTAGGAATTAACAAAGACATTCATGACAGCAGGTTGGTACATTTGATGCATACCATTGCCGTAGAGTGGGACAGGAATGTTGTATTTCCCTGAAGGCAGCATCTCCCTGGTCCAATGGAACTTCTACATTTTTGGGGGGATTATGTCAGAAAAGTATCTCTCTGTCAAACACACGTTTATGATACTTACATGTTTAGTTCAGCAGGATGATCTCCACATATTAACTTCACTTCATGATTTATCCGATTGTCGAACCTCAGATTGAGGAGGAACAATGCGGATTCCGTCCTGGTCGTGGAACGACGGATCAGCTTTTTACTCTCGCAAGGATCCTGGAGGGGGCCTGGGAGTACGCTTATCCGGTCTACATGTGTTTTGTAGACTTGGAGAAGGCGTATGACCGAGTTCTCAGGGAGTTACTGTGGGAGGTGCTGCGGGAGTATGGGGTGAAGGGGTCTCTACTCAGGGCCATCCAATCTCTGTACTCCCAAAGCGAGAGCTGTGTCCGGGTCCTCGGCAGTAAGTCGGACCCATTTCCGGTGAGGGTTGGCCTCCGCCAGGGCTGCGCTTTGTCACCAATCCTGTTTGTAATATATATGGATCGGATTTCGAGGCGTAGTCGTGGGGGAGGGGGTCTGCAGTTCGGTGGACTAAGGATTGCACCACTGCTTTTTGCAGATGATGTGGTTCTAATGGCTTCATCGGTCTGCGACCTTCAGCACTCACTGGATCGGTTCGCAACCGAGTGTGAAGCGGCTGGGATGAGGATCAGCACCTCCAAATCTGAGGCCATGGTTCTCAGCAGGAAACCGATGGACTGTCCACTCCAAGTAGGGAATGAGTCCTTACCCCAAGTGAAGGAGTTCAAGTATCTCGGGGTCTTGTTCTCGAGTGAGGGAACAATGGAGCGTGAGATGGGCCGGAGAATCGGAGCAGCGGGAGCGGTACTGCAGTCGCTTTACCGCACCGTTGTGAGGAAAAGGGAGCTGAGCCAGAAGGCAAAGCTCTCTGTCTACCGGGCCATTTTTGTTCCTACCCTCACCTATGGTCATGAAGGATGGGTCATGACCGAAAGAACGAGATCGCGGATACAAGCGGCCGAGATGGGTTTTCTCCGCAGGGTGGCTGGTGTCTCCCTTAGGGATAAGGTGAGAAGTTCGGTCATCCGGGAGGGACTCGGAGTTGAGCCGCTCCTCCTTCGCGTCGAAAGGAGCCAGTTGAGGTGGTTTGGGCACCTAGTTAGGATGCCACCTGGGCGCTTCCCTAGGGAGGTGTTCCAGGCACGTCCAGCTGGGAGGAGACCAAGGGGTAGACCTAGGACCAGGTGGAGGGATTATATCTCTTCGCTGGCCTGGGAGCGCCTTGGGATCCCCCAGTCAGAGCTGGTTGATGTGAAAGGAACGTTTGGGGCTCTCTGCTGGAACTGCTACCCCCGCGACCCGACCACGGATAAGTGGGAGAAGATGGATGGATGAAGTAAAAAGCTAGCTATAAAGGAACTACAATATGGTCACATGACTTCACGTCTCCACCGCTAAGCTAAAGGAGGCTAATGTTGGACTATAAAGGAACTACAATACGGTCACATGACATCACGTCTCCACCGCTAAGCTAAAGGAGGCTAATGTTGGGCTATAAAGGAACTACAATACGGTCACATGACTTCACGTCTCCACCGCTAAGCTAAAGGTGGCTAATGTTGGGCTATAAAGGAACTACAGCACGGTCACATGACTTCACGTCACCACCGCTAAGCTCAAGGTGGCTAATGTTGGGCTATAAAGGAACTACAGCATGGTCACATGACTTCACGTCACCACCGCTAAGCTAAAGGTGGCTAATGTTGGGCTATAAAGGAACTACAGCACGGTCACATGACTTCACGTCACCACCGCTAAGCTAAAGGTGGCTAATGTTGGGCTTTAAAGGAACTACAGCACGGTCACATGACTTCACGTCACCACCGCTAAGCTAAAGGTGGCTAATGTTGGGCTATAAAGGAACTACAGCACGGTCACATGACTTCACATCATCACTGCTAAGCTAAAGGCGCTAACGTTGGGCTATAAAGGAACTACAGCATGGTCACATGACTTCACGTCATCACTGCTAAGCTAAAGGTGGCTAACGTTGGGCTATAAAGGAACTACAGCATGGTCACATGACTTCACGTCATCACTGCTAAGCTAAAGGTGGCTAACGTTGGGCTATAAAGGAACTACATTATGGTCACATGACTTCACGTCATCACTGCTAAGCTAAAGGTGGCTAACGTTGGGCTATAAAGGAACTACAGCATGGTCACATGACTTCACGTCATCACTGCTAAGCTAAAGGTGGCTAACGTTGGGCTATAAAGGAACTACAGCATGGTCACATGACTTCACGTCATCACTGCTAAGCTAAAGGTGGCTAACGTTGGGCGTGATGAAGTTTATTCATCTCATTTAGACACTTGTTGGCAGCCTCCATTTCTAAATTCACCAGTGGGGTATTTACTGACGTATTTGATGTCGTAGAATTAAAATCTCTTCAGCTTGTGTAAACCACGGACCTTATTTCATGCCAACATAAAAACACATTCAGAAAACCATTGACTTCCAGACCAGGGGACAGGAAGTGTTGAAATGCTAAGGCTTGTCAGGTTTTAGGACTCATTCCTGCACCCCTTTTCTCTTGCAGAACCAGAGTGTGCTCGTTGACAGGAAGCAGATCCATTTCACGCAGAGTTTGTTCCCAATCAGTCGAGATCTTTGTGACCATGGTTCCAGAAATCAACTTGATATTTGTCCTGCTTTTGAAATTAATCCTCTGCAGGTCGGTTTGGCTGCAGCGTCCAATCAATCGGTCACGCTGCTCACAGTCCTCCATCAGGGAACATTCAGGGGGGGGGGGGGGGGGGGCAGCTGGAAAAAAGCCGTCACAACCTCACCGTGAGGAACACTTTCATTAAATACAAACTACAAGTTTAGTCTCGAAAGAGCAGAGGTGTGGAGTCCAAGGAGTGCCTTTAAAGAAAGAAATAATTAACATCCTGAAAAAGAAAAGAGAAATATCTAAAAGAACAAATACGTTTATTTAAAATGTAAATGTAAGAAAAAGGAAAAATAAATAAGTACATTAATAATTTTGGAAGTATAAAGACAAGTTAAAATTATGGAGTGCTTTAATTTTATTAGGGCTTTTAAACTAATTATAATCTGCATATAAGGCTCCATGTAAACGTGGCTGATGAAGCATCATTCCTCAAGTTAGCTGGTATAGAGAGGAATGAGTCCTAAAACCAGCATTTTATCAACGCAAACAGTACATTCAAAAAGAGTCATATTAACCAAAGGTCTTCACATAACAGCAGACCTATATATATATAACCTTTTGGAAGGTTCTGCAGAAAATCATCTCACATTCCTGACGAGCTGCATACCTGTGTGATCAATTCAGATAAATACACACTGTCTGACTCAGTATGTCAGGGGGCGGGACCTGCGCGGGGGCCTGCCACTCAAACCCATCCCTGCTACGTGATTGGTCCTTCCTCCGGGGTGGGCGGGGCCTGCAGAGCCACATGGAGTTGCTGGAGTCTGAGAGCCCGTCAGTCTGATCCATCTCTCCGGAGCAGCACCATCAGAGTGGGACATATTTTCATTTCTTATATTTCACCTCTTCCACTTTCTGTGTCTCTGCCCGCGGCCTCGCGGAAGAGAACGGACGGATTTTCTTGTGCGTAAAAGTCTTTCTGATTGAGCCATTAATTACCTGGAGAGGGATATTTATTATGTTCCTGATGTGTGCGCACTGATGGACTGAGACTGTCCGTGGATCAGGGAACTTTGTTTTCAACACGTTTTTGGACCTTTATAAGACTCCGCTCCTGAGGCTGTGGCGGACACTTTGCTGTCTTCTCCACCGGAACCGGGTTTGATGGAAACATGACCCTCACCGGAACGGTTCTGCTCCACCTGCTGCTGCTGCTGCTCCCGGTGTCCGCGCGCTACTTCGGACACATCGCCGAGAACTCCCCGGTTGGGACGCCGGTGTCCGGGGTTCTGCTCCCCGGGGGATCCCACCTGAACGCCACTCTGACGGGGGATTACGCATCGGATTTCAGGCTCGTGCATCACCGGGACCACCGTCTGGGTTTGGTCTCCGCCAAAGCGCTGGACCGGGAGTTCATCGCCATGTACGAGCTGACGGTGCAGCTGCCGCGCGGGGCCGCCGCCGTGCAGGTGGAGGTGTCGGACAGGAACGACAACATCCCCCGGTTCATCGGCGGGAACCGGACGGTGGAGGTGCACGCGCTCACGCCGCTCGGAACCGAACTGGTGCGCTTTGACGCGAAGGACGGAGACGCGGAGAGTAACGGACGCGTCACTTTTTACGCGTCACCGGAGTCTCACCTGCTGCACGTGGCTCCGCAGACCGGCCAGGTGAGGCTGGTCCGGTCCCTGCTGGGGGTCCGACAGGTGAGAGGAGACCCTTTAACTAATGTCAGTAACCTCAGCTGAGTATCAAAATGTAAACCTGATTACTTTCCATTTCTTATGGATTACCTCAAAATCAAATGCAATGCAAATGGAAACAACAATAAATAAATAACAATAAGGTGTTTTAAATTAAGCTTAATGAGACCTCAGAAAAAAAGAAACCAAGATATTTCATATAAAGAATGTAGTTAAAATGCTGCTTAAGATGAATACGTTCATCAAAAGCAAGTTGTGTTTAATAAACCACGGTGTCCTGCTGCGTTAAAGAATACATTCAAATAAAGAGGAAGAAGCCTAAATATAAACAAAAAGAAGATCATTCAGAACGTCCTCCTCTCACTATCATATATATATTTGCTTCACAATTTAACTCACAGTTTGTAATAGATTTAAATTCACAAAATAAGGTTTCGGACAATATATAGAAACAAGTGAAGGAAAGAGCGTGCTTGTATTACATCAACACATTTCACATCAGTATCAGGTTATTTGAAAGCAATAATATTAAGTCTAAATAAAAAAGGTTATTCGGTCCAACTTAATATGATTGCTTTCAAATAACCTGATACTGATGTGAAAATATTAGAGAGGATCAACAGAAGAGGAGACTTTCTGACTCACAGACCAACCTGAGAGGCTGCAGCATCCTCTGGACCCAAAGCATGCTCTGGACCCAAAGCATCCTCTGGACCCAAAGCATCCTCTGGACCCAAAGCATCCTCTGGACCCAAAGCATGCTCTGGACCCAAAGCATCCTCTGGACCCAAAGCATGCTCTGGACCCAAAGCATGCTCTGGACCCAAAGCATCCTCTGGACCCAAAGCATCCTCTGGACCCAAAGCATGCTCTGGACCCAAAGCATCCTCTGGACCCAAAGCATGCTCTGGACCCAAAGCATCCTCTGGACCCAAAGCATGCTCTGGACCCAAAGCATCCTCTGGACCCAAAGCATCCTCTGGACCCAAAGCATCCTCTGGACCCAAAGCATGCTCTGGACCCAAAGCATCCTCTGGACCCAAAGCATGCTCTGGACCCAAAGCATGCTCTGGACCCAAAGCATCCTCTGGACCCAAAGCATCCTCTGGACCCAAAGCATGCTCTGGACCCAAAGCATCCTCTGGACCCAAAGCATGCTCTGGACCCAAAGCATCCTCTGGACCCAAAGCATGCTCTGGACCCAAAGCATGCTCTGGGACCCAAAGCATCCTCTGGACCCAAAGCATCCTCTGGACCCAAAGCATGCTCTGGACCCAAAGCATGCTCTGGACCCAAAGCATGCTCTGGACCCAAAGCATCCTCTGGACCCAAAGCATCCTCTGAACCCAAAGCATCCTCTGGACCCAAAGCATGCTATGGACCCAAGCATGCTCTGGACCCAAAGCATCCTCTGGACCCAAAGCATCCTCAGGACCCAAAGCATCCTCTGGACCCAAGCATGCTCTGGACCCAAAGCATGCTC